ACAAGAATTAAACGGACTCTATCATCTCAAGTTAAATTTTCACTTTAAAAAAATTACAAGATTGTGGAAAAAACACAAATGAATAAAAAATTTACAAATAGCTAAAATTAACTTTGGCATGCACGGTTGAAACTTGAAATTGAAATAAAATGTCACGAAAGGCAAGTTTGGTAATTTCTTGATATCATTATGTTATATCTTGTTATGCATTGGATAATATATTGTAATATCTTATGTTGGGTTGAAAATAATCTAAGCAAAAATAGTATTTAGTATAATACACCTCATAATATTTTCGTTTAAATTAAGTAAGGGTATCATGCTACGAATTGAAAGAAAAATATTATTATTTTTATAGTATCATGTGCTTTACTTTTAAAGCAAACATACCTTGACCAAACATTGATTTTAAATCAGCATTGGTAAAAAACAAAAAGAAAAACTAGCAATTCTTTAAAGATAAACACTTGACTATTTAGGGACAGATTTGAGCACCAATATCCATAAGCCATCACTGCGGTGATCCAACCTGATTCAAGAATTAACTTGAAAAAAAAAAAGAGGGGGGGTGGGGGTCCAAGTCATTTCAATAGTTACATATTTCAATTATTTTTATGAAAATCGCAGAGTTTTTTTTTTTTTTTTTTTAACGAATGCTTGTTGGATAAGTTTAAACCGGGTTTAAATGGAATAATTCAGAACTTGGTTAGCTGTGGAAAATTGTGGTCCTCCTCGAATCTGCTCATCAATTATTTCTTTTATTTCAATTAGGTCTCTTTCCTTTGTAATTCAACTCTTTCAATATAATACACTTCTTTCAATTACATTCTTTAGTTTCACAATTAGGAACACAAACTACCCAACTTCTTATAGTTAAGCCCTTTCCGAGTTTTGAGTTGGCTACAATCACTATACAAAACTCAATTACCCCTGAAATAGTATCATCAACTCTTACAAAACTTGCTACATAATTCTCTCACCAGAAAACCATAAATCAGGAGCTCCTGTAAGACAGCCAAACAAGCCACAATGCCGCTGCAAAAGAGATATTCTATGATGCAAACTTTTCAAGGATGTCTCAACAGGCAACACAATAAATATTTCGTACAAGTCTTTCATTACTCTTGCCGTAAAATCAAACTTCTCATGCTATAGTTTATATAAATGTTATGCACAAGGAAAGAAATTCCATCTAACAAGGAATTCTAGACAAGTAGGAAAATCTAAATACTTCTTTGTTGACATCTGAAACACAATATAATGCTGGATGTCTTCCTAAACGAACATTTCATTGTCGAAACCTATAAGGTGTCGTTGGAGGTTGAAAAAAGACTTTGATCAGCCCTAAAATGTTACTGTTGCGGTGAAAGTAAGAACACTACTCATAATAAAATATAGCAAAAGTTCTTATGCGAATAATTAATTAAATGTTCAAAACTAAAAATAGTCATCTCATACGTCTAAAAATTGCTAAAGTCCAGGCTCAATGTTACCCGAGTACACCTAAAGAGCTATCATAAAAGCAAAACAGCAGGGGGCGGTAAGCGGGGCGGTCTAATGAGGTAGAAGGATGACCTGGATTCTCTTAATACAAGGGAAGAAATTAATAGAAACAGGAAACAAACAAACAAACAAAGAGGTCTCACTGTACTTGTTATTTTCGCTAATTACAATGCTACAGCCTATTGTTAACAGGTTTTTAGGTGCTAAAAAAAATCCTCTTCAGTCCGTGATCATACAATATTAAAATCTTTTGGAGTCAAGATATCTATATATAGGAGAATGTGTCCAGGGAAAAAATAATTCCAAATGAACATTTACCCTCGTAAGCTTTTTGTTTGTTTGTCTGTTTGTCACTTTACAGAGTATGACTGTTTCAGTATCTCCCGCTCTTTCTCGATAAATACACCCAATTGACTTGAGAATCAAAAAGCTGCCCTCTAAAGTATAATAAATTTTCATCAACCCTTTTCTTTCCCCTCGCCACTTTCAACCACTCCTCCAATCGACACACCACAACGACGACCATGCATTTTTAAAGAGACATGGCACGTGAAAATGCATTTTCAGCTTGAGAAGTTGGGAGTGGACTCAGATGGGGTGGAGAGAAATAAAGAATTTAGGAAATTAATATTGTGGGATTTTATTAGTAGCTAGCATATTGATTGATAAATTAATGATTATTATATGATCGAAAGGGTGGAGTCGACAACCTGGGTTGGAGATGCAGCATTTGACATTTAGGTGTTGTTTCTATCGAACACACTTCTCTCCCCCTCTCTCTCTCTCTCTATAGATATATATATATATATATAGAGAGAGAGAGAGAGACACAGACACAATTTTCAAGACTGTGAAAGCGTTGAAATATGTAGCCCGTATCGTCCTCTCCGTTTGTCACCCTGATGTACAGTATTTGGAAAGATAGAGAGGCATGGACCAGATGGTGGTGGAGCCTTCGGTTGTGTTATAGAGGTGATAGCATGGCAGCACTTCTTACGGGCACCTTCCGACCCAACCTCACATGAAAAAAAAAATATCCCTGAATCTGGCTGTACAGGTACTTACCAATCATTCCTTAATCGTTAAGGTTAATTAATTGCGATTAATAATGTCAATAATCAAATGGTCACGGACCATGGTATCAAAAAACTGATGAAAACAAGTGCCCACACCCCTGCCTTACCATGATTCAAGGCAGCTATGAGGCGTAAAGCACCATGATTTTAAAAAGAAAACAGCTAGCATTTCGAGTTAATTGTATTTTAAAAAGAAGAATGTGACTCTGATTCTTCCACTCCATGGCTTAATTATACTATTTCATTGACGTAATTCTGTAAGTGTCAAATGTCAAGAATCCCACCGCTTGATTTACCGATTGAAAATCTTGTCTGATAGAATGCTAATTAATCTGTTTGTGTTGTGAAACACGCGGAAAATTTACATGCACTAGCCCAAAAAATCTTCATTTGACTATTAACAGTACTGGATCCAATTTTATTGTCATTGAAAAAATTGATAAGAGACGGACATTTTAGGCAAGGCATCTTTCAATGTTGCCGATTTAACATATACTGGCAATTTATGACTTCAACTACGAGTACCATGCATAGTACACATGGTGACTTGTGACCAAATAAGCAACTAATTAGAACCTCACGATCCATTCCACTAATAATTTCAAACGAGGCGAGAGGCATATCAAAGAGAGAGAGGAGAGAATGGACCCAAGAATTTTTAAGGCGACGTGTATAGGAAGATGATGGTTGTGCCAAGTCTCTATCGGGACACCGAGAAAGTAGATGACAGTTTTTAATAAGCCAACTAAATCTTTATCTCAAGGTCACCATTTGTTTCCTTCCGTCAACAACAGTAATTTTAATAGAGTAATGTTACATGTCTATCACTTTGTTTGGTTTTTTCAAGAGTAAGTTGCAAGGTCAACATGGATCCAAGAGTACGAAAAGCTGTGTGGTAAATAAATTAAATATTCCACCATAAGCTAGGATGCTGTATGCTGAATCCCCCACGCCATATTTTTACAAAAAAAAAAAACAGAGAGTTTAACGCGAATCATGTTAACAATGTCTTCGATCCTTAATTCTATCTCATATCATAGAAAACAAGTGAGTTTTGAGCGTCAAACGAGCTCAGTATGTCACATCAAATAAGCGCTCAAGAAACAGTTTCTCACCGAATTAAGACGACAAAGTAATTAAGTTTTACATGGTTCTCTCTTATCCGAGTTAGTGAAGTTTACCACTTTGCACAGAACTCAAAACTTTGTAAGTACTTCATTTTGTCAAATATATTTTGAATTGTTTTTTCTATAATTCAATGGAAAATTTTAAAAACGTCCTCACACAGCTGATCTTGTTAACAAGGGAGCTAACTTGTATTTATGAAGTTGAAAGAGAAAATTGGATTTAGTTATGAAACAACAGAGAAGGAGAGAACAAAACTACATTCAACATTTAAAGAACACTCCATGGTTTTAGCTTCAATGTAAATCTAAAAAGAAAAAAAAAAAAAAGAAATTGAAGCAACAAGAATGAAGGGAAAAGGGCGAAAAGGAAAGCGTGGACCCCTTACTCTATCTGTCGGTTATCGCCTCGGATTTCTCGCCTCTGCCTAAAAAGTGACACGGCAGACGAGGGTCCATTCTTTCATGCCCATTTTTATTTATTTTTAATTCTTCTACTTGGGGATTACTATATTCTACTGTACCGTTTAATTTTCTCATTCCAATAGCAATTAATCGTTTCGAAAAGGTGTAGATATATATATATATATATATATATTAAATGGGCCTTTGCATTATCGGGCCGCTCAATAACTCAACCACTCCTCTGACCCAATTCTATGCCTCCTTTACTTTGATTCCTTTATTATCTTCTTATCAATTATTTTATAATCATACAATAGGTTTTTTAGCATAGTACACACCTGTCTACGGTCCATAATGGGTATTTAATTTCTAGGTTACATCGTACAGTAGACAGCACAGTTACAGTCAAAGTGCTATAATGGGTATTTAATTTCTAGGTTACATAGTACAGTAGACAGCACAGTTACAGTCAACAGTGTTCGTGTTCGGTGACACCATCCAACCATCATCTAATGGTGGGTTTCACTTGGGTACGTACATGTTCAATCTCTTACGAGGTGTTACCATCACAGTCATCTGGCAAATCCAACGGTGGATCAGGGTTTCAAGAACAGAGACATGTTTCATGGAGTCACCCCTCTATTTTAGAAGCGGTGGTATGACTTGTCTGAACATGAAAGTGAATGGGTTTTTATTATAATAGTCTTTGATTTGTTTTTATAGAGATGATGAGAGGGAGGGAGGGAGAGAGGGAAAGGTGCATGGGGTCGTGGTCATTTCTGGAACTGAGAAAACCCCAGCTGGTAGGGGCAGTCTGCACCTATCTTTTGTCTTTTTTAACGTTGGCTTTCCACTCCCTAGTCTTCTTGATATATCCCCAATACCATTGTCTTTTTTAACGTTGGCTTTCCACTCCTTTTACTCTTCTTGATATATCCCCAATACCATATCATTCTCTTCATCATCACCAATTTTTCTCTCACTCCCCAACCCCCTTCAAGATAGGCGAGACTCTTGGGGGATAAAGAGAATAGTTGAGAGTCACCGGCACGCACCCACACGAAATCAAATTTCATATATCTCCCTCTTTCACTTGGAAGTATCGATCAAGATTTGCTAACAAAGGTAGCTTCTTTTTTGAGGGGAATGTTGTCTGGCTCGAGGACTTTTTCTTGATCAATCTAATCGAACTTTCTACCTGTAGATCTAGTATCTTATTTAAGATTGATCACGAATTAGGGTTGTCGGACCAGGCTTCATTCCCCCCAATCATTGCTTCCATCTCAAGGGCTTGACCATGGGCTGTTGCATGTACAGGTTTGATTTTTAATCATCCTTTTTTTTTCCTTTAATTGGTTTTGCATATCTTAATCTTGCTCGGGGTAAAAAAACTGGTAGTTTTTTAATCAGGGGTTTTTTCATTTTAGTCTTTAGGGTTATATGCAGATTGGCGTAATCATGATGTGTTTTGACCATGCTGAGAACTAAGAAGTTTCATCATTACTCTATTTCTGGTTTTCTTTTTCTCTGATCATGTGATGATGTTGTTTTTTCTGTCAGTCTATTACCTTCGAAGGCTCATCATAACTGGGCAGATTTTTCCTCATGTATCTGATCTGTCTGGTGATGATGTTGTTTTTTCTGTCAGTCTACCAACTTCGAAGGCTCATCATTACTGGGCAGATTTTTCTCCATGATAGGTTCATCATGATCTGATCTGTCTCCTTGTGCTATTTTCAGATCTGGCTTTCAACTTTTGGTGGAAATGATACTTCCATTCTTACTCGTTTTGTTTTATAGTGTCTCAAGCTGCAGTTGTTTCTGAGGTTTGGCTCTGATCTTCAAATCAATATTTTACAGAGAAAAGGGCATGTGCCGTGTGAAGATGTACAAGCAAGCAAGTGAAGCGCTTTCTGTCATTGTTTGAAGAGTCTCTCGATTCTCCATAGAAGAGATAGAAAACTTGGTGGTACTGAAAATCTAGACGTACTTGCATACTCGTGATATGAATTTTGGATACAACATTTTGGCTCAGATATTTAAAGTTTTCTATAGTCGTGCCCTTGGTTTCTTTGCTTGCTCTTTCAGAAGAGCTTTGCTGTTTTCTAAAATCAAAGCTGGATGTCTGAACAAGGGTCACTTCCTATGCCTGCCTACTTATGAAGTGTGCTATATTCTACCTGTTTCTCGGCCTCTTTTCCTTTGGGTTGAGTAGGGGTAAACATTATTATTATTATTATTATGCTTTCCCTTGAACTGCCGTTTATTTGCCAAGAATATTTTAAATTGAGAACAATTATGTTATTGCCAGGAGTTTGTGCCCGGCCTCTTTTCCTTTGGGTTGAGTAGGGATAAACATTATTATTATTATTGTTGTTGTTATGCTTTCCCTTGAACTGCTGTTTATATGCGAAGAATATTTTAAATTGAGAACAATTATGTTATTGCCAGGAGTTTGTGCCCGCGTGTTTTGTGTCACTCTCACATTACATGCAACAACCTGTCTTGGCATGCAAAGTTATCTCTCGATTACATTTCGAATTCTTTTCGAACAAGAGATATCGTTGTGAACTCCTCAGTTAAAGCCTACTGGATCTAAAGTTACAAGTTCCCATTCCTGATAGCTCACAAAATCCTCTTGTTTCTTAATTTTAACTCTACTAGCTAGAAAGGAATGGATAATGATTCCTTTTTCACCATTTGATTATATATGCCACACGTTAAATAGCAGGTTCATAATTGAAGTCTCCCCGCAATGTGGAATATGGATGTCATACTTTTCCAGCGTAAAGCTTGATTGCTTTCTAGAGGATCAGTATGCAGGTAAAACCTCTTGTTTTCAGTGAGTATTTTTCTATTTCTTGTGTAGCTATTGTATTGCTAAGGCCAAGGGATGACATGGGGTTGAATTTTTGTGAGCATTGTTATTCCATCGTGCCTGCCTCCTTGCCCATCATTTGCCTTGCTTTTCTCATGTGAGTTTAGCAATGAGATCCCTGCTAAAAGATGAAAAGACAAACATTGTGATTTGAAAGATGGCCAAAAGTGTCACCTACGCTCTAGAGGCTTACACGTTTATTTGTATATGGGCCTAAATTCTTAATCTTCTCTCTCTCTCTCTCTGCCGCACTAGCATTCATGGAAACACAACAATGAAAGAAACTCGTATAGAGTGAGAGCAAAGGCAAAAGGTTTTTATTCCATGTCACTGGGTAACCTAACGTTTTTAGTTCTGCAAAATATGTTTCATATTTTAAAGCTGGTTTGGAATCTAGGAAGCAAATTCCATTTTTTAATGTTATTACACACACACACACACACAAATACATACATACATACATACATATACGTACATATATATATGTATATGTATGTATGTATGTATGTATGTATGATGTCTGCATTTGTACCTTGAGATCAATAAGACCAAAGACCAATCTTTATGGTTTTACCTCCAGGATTTTTTTTTTTTCTTTCTACCCTCTTTTCCCGTTTCAGAATTTTCCTCTAGCCCTTTGTTGAAAAGGGGATTGCCTGTATGAATGCTGTCCCGTAAAGCACTGCCTTTTGGGAAATTGAATCTTTTTGACCTTTGCAAACATAAAGCAAACCACTTTCCTCCATGCTTTTATCCGTGATATTTTTTGCTTTAGTCTTTGATTTTTTTTTATTTTTTTTTGGGGGGGTGGTTTGTTCTTTGGCGTTGTTGTCCCATGTAGTTTCTCATTATGACCACAATTTTCCATGGTGTGATTGGTATGTGGACAACTTGACCAAAACTCTATGAAAACTTTGTGTCATTGGGTGAGAAGTGGAGGACCTTGTAAGTATATAGCTCCAAAAACTGTCCCTATGACTTTCTTGTAGACGGTAATATCACTGTTGAATTTTATTTTTTATTTTTAATGGGCAGCACGCATGCTTTTATAGAGTCATTGACGAAAACTATATTGAACATGTTCAACGCATCCAAAAACGCTTCGGAAGCGTTTATTATGAGAATATCCCAAATTAATTCTTCTAAGCTAAGAATATTTAATCTCTAGAACGTTTTTATTTTTATTTTTTTATTATAGAATATCACATTCTTGAAAATCTGATAAGCCTTGTTCTTCTTATTAAAAGTGGATTGATGTTGGCTTATTTTTACTAATAGTAATTGTGAGTGGCGTATTATATTTTATATGTTAGCCCACATATGTATGTTTTTGTTGACCTTTAACCCAAGCCTTGATTGTATGATTGCCTTTGCTAGCGCAAGATATAAATAAAAAGCAAGAGATGACTGAACTTTCTCATTACCCTTATCCTTTTTTCTTTCTCTAAAACGCCAGCCAACTCTGCCTCTTCCCTCTGCAAAATCTCTTCAAATTTCTAACCTACAACAATTCATCATATAAGTTATTTGTTTTTGAGTAAGTTTACTTAGCTTCTTTTATTGCTTTATTATATTGTTTTGTATCTTTTTAATTATAATAAGTTGTGAAAAGTTAGGGTTAGGGTTTATATGATGTTAGTTGATATATGAGTAATTTTTTTGAATTATTTGTGTATGGTTAATATTATATAAATATAAATACGTCTTGATAAGTATTTTTATTTGATTGATGAGTTTTGAATAAAAGACCTTGGGGAATATTGATATTAGCAAGAAAATAGGGAATTATTGAAGAATTGTATAGAAAGAATTATGTTGAGGTCGAAGATGGACGAATTACAGTTTGATCCCTATTTTTGGAAAATTATGGTTCTGCCCTTGAATTCTAAAAACTTATTGTTTAGTCCTTGGTTATATTTTTCAGATAGGTTTTGCTAAATAGTCAAGATTTATTTATGTTTATTATCAATTGTATTGCTTTCATTTGAATTTGGAATTAATTTTATTATACGTTGAAATGTGTTTAGATTTTTTGAAAGTCCATTTACCATTCATTTGTAAGAAATTGGTTAAAGATTGCGGTGTACATACTTTTTGCATAATTGTGAGTAATTAATAGAACTTCTCTTTAGAAGTATTATGAATTTGTGTCTATACGTTCGTTTTGAAATTGATACGTGATTTTGAATAATTGATGTAAATCAGTTTTAAAAAATATTTATAAAGCATGTGTGTTTGCATCCTTATATTTATCATAAAATAAAATTTATAAACTTGGTATGATGATGGATTATATATTTGGTGTAACGAGTTACATATATTGTGTGATGTTAGGTTATATAGTTTGTGTGATAGGTGGTGTGAAGTTAGATTACATACATGGTGTGATGGGTCATGATGCTGAATTATTGATTCTTGGATATATTTATATTGATTAATCATTGAGTTATGGAAACTCAAGTTTTTTCACAATTTTTTTTTTTAGAGGATGTTTAAAAATATGGTACATAGAGGTTATTTTTTTATCGCACATGAACAAGCGGCATTGGAGGATCAGGAAGTCTCTATCTAATTATTTGATTAAAAATCAATAGAAAACTCGAGTCTTATTAGTTAAAAGTATGGAGTTAGTTGTGATGCATCCTACCTTAATTAAGTTACATTAAGTGGTCTGAATGTGATTTAAATTAACCCATGTGAATAAATATGGTATTTTAAATTTATTATTAGCTTGTGTGTTCAAATAAATTCTTATGGAAAAGGTCCATGTTACTACCTTAACAGGGTTCACCTATTTTTAAAGGCAAAAAGGTTTTCAATAACTCGTGTGTAAAATACAATCAATTAAAATTGATGAATATTCAAAATAATTCTAAGAATTTTCTAGTCAATTCCTGATATTTAAATATCAGCCTACTTGTAAGTTCAATGTTTATACCATAATATTGACCATTAATTCTCATAAATTAAAATTTTAGAGGTTATTTAAATATTGGCTAAATTTTCTTGAATTTAATAAATTAGTTATTAAATTTAAAATGCATGTAAATATATATTTTGTAAAAATGTGCGCATTAAACAAAAATATGATTTTTTTCTTTTTTTATTTTAAACATTTAAAAACATGTAAGAAAATACAAATACACACCCATCTTTTTTATTAATTTATCCACACTCATACAATTACAAATAGTTGCACAACATTCTAATTAAACATAAATCATAAAAAAAAAAATCATTTGAATCTCAAAATAAACCTTCCAAGCTACTACAAAGTGCTGAAAATGGAGAAACAATAATGACACGTGGGTTTAAGGCACCACTATCACTATGAGTGCATGGTTCCACATGCCGCCGCTGGTGAAATGAAACATAAAATGGATCTAAAAGATGTTCTACTTTCCTCCTTGTGGCAGCGGTAAGGACCAACGTAACGTGCAAAACCAAGAAAAAATTCACAAAATAATAGTTTTATTTTTCTTTCTTCTCTTCACATCTACCATACTCTCTCTCTCTATTGATATCTACCTCTTTCTCTCTGTTGATCTTCTCTCCTTTATAGGTTCAACGTCACCATTGTTTGTTGTTGTGTTGATGGTCGAAGATGGGAGGAGAAAAAGCTATCGTGAATGTTGTAAGTTAGAGAAGCCACCATCGTGGGAGCTACTGGTTGTTGGCGTTACATTTAAAGATGGAGATTCTTATGATAAGTTGTTGGTTTTGATTCTCGACTGGAAAGAGATCTGTCGATGGTGGTAAAAAGATAGAAAATTTGAAGGGGTGATTGGTGTGGTGGCTGAGTGGATGGACGTTACTGGATGGTAGTGTTGCTGGAGGCATTGATAGGGGCTGTCAATTGGTGGTGTTGGGTCTTGATGACTGATGGGCGTGGATCTGGTTAAGAGGATGTCATGGTTGAGTTAGAGGCGCTGACGTAGATGGTTTGGCTCGGCTGCTGGTGGTGGCTATATTGCCACTAGTGAAGGCTATTGATAGAGATTGAGGATGAGTTTTGGGAAAAGAGTGTTTGGGTTCTCTTTGAAGGAAGGCTTTGGACTCTCAAGTAAGATAGACTATTGTGTGTTTGAGTGGCTGGAATAGAGGTTGTTGGCTGCCATTGACTGTAGTCAGTCAGAGGCTTGTGAGGGATGTGACTGAAAGGGCTGTGGTTGTAGGACTTCTCTTTTGGCGGAGAGCTAGGGAAGATAATGAGAGAGGGACTGATGTTGGGTTTGCTAGTGTTGGCTGGTGGTTGGGTTCACGGTGGTGAAGGCTCTGAAGAGAGTTTTGTTAAAGGAGAGTTAACTATTTTTTGCCCTATTTTCTTCTCAAGAGATTCTTATGATTTTTTTTTTTTTGTATTAGTGTGCTGATGAGTATGGAGTGTTTAGGCATGCTTGATTTTTTTTCTAACTAATTATCTCTTCTCATTTCTCCATTAAAATCTCTTCTTCATCATTTCTTTTTTCTCTGTGTGTAACCTTTTATTTGTAGGCAAAATAAATTTTTTATTTTCAATTGTTTGTTCTTTAAGCAAACTTGGTAACCAAGTAATTCAAAAAATAATTTGATTTCTCAACTTCTTTCTTTTCATATTTGATCCTTTTGTTTATTTTGATTTTTTATATTTTTACTTTTTTTAAAAAAAAAAAAGCAACATCAATTATAACTCAAAAGGCGCATTAATAACCAAATGCATTAAAAGTAGATTTTTTTTAATTTAAATTTTTTTAGAAAAGACACTAAAAATGACATAAATACATCAAAAATGTTTTTTTTGGTTTTTTGTTATTTTTTGCTATGTTTTTTTTCTAAATTTTTTTTAAAGAATAGAATTAAAAATTAGATAACAACACTTTTCAAAATAATTTTCACTTAAAAATACATTAAAACTAATAGAAAAAATAACTTACAGCTAGAAGTTATATGTTAGTTTATTGCTCATTTGTCTTTTGATCTTTAGCGAGCACTTTCCCTAATTATATTAGTCAAAGTAGGAATATTTGTCAAAGTCGTGGCCAACCAATAACAACATAGATAAAAACCTCTCAAGAAAGTCGTGGCCAACAAACATTAACATGAGCATCCCTCACACAACCAAAACACCCAAATCTTTCAACATTTATATCCCCTGTCCCACACACACTACCCTCAACCATATAAGTTCTACTTGGAAAGATATCCAAATTACCTTTCTTACCATCATCTTCAAGCTCGTCTTCTCCAAATTGGATATGTTCAAAGCCTTTTTATGGCAAGAAAACCAAACAAAGTTGGAAGACGATTTGGGTTTTGTATCCTTTCTTCTAAAGACTCAACTAATGTTCTACTTCGCAACTTAAATAGTATTTGGTTTGACTCTTACAAGTTATGGGTCAACTTAGCAAGATTTGAAACAAGACACACCCAGGGTAAAATCCCACAAATCTCTTTAAACTTGTAGCTAGAGTGAAAAGCCCACCATTTAAAATAAGAGATCACTGAACCTATACAACAGTTCTACAAACTATGGATACCCCGCACCATCTAATGTTTGTGCAAGAAACTAGTCTTCCTCAAAAGCCATCTAAACTTGATTCGATGAAAGAAACTATCATTTACTCTCTAAAACCACAAGACATATCATGGTTGGACAATTATTTACTTGCATCCCTGACTGCAGGTGCAGACTATGGAAAGATTCAAGATGAACTTATTAGTTATGATATTCAATCAACCAGAATAAGGTTTCTTGGTGCTTCACAGGTTCTACTCCTTTTTGAAGATCATCCCTCAATGATGCATGCTTTTAAGGCTTACTTGTCTTATTGGGAAAAATATTTTGATGATATAAGGCTATGGTTTTCTATGAATTGTGCCATTAATAGGTTAGTATGGATCTCCATACAAGGATTGCCAATAGTTGGATGGAATAGAAATTGTCTATGAACTTTTCTCAGATTTATAAGAGATATTATTGGCTTTGACCGTTTAGGCCTTAGACGCTTAACCCTTGTATCTTTACACTTATTGTTTGGTACAAAAAATGACAAAGATATAAGGAAGAAAATCATCTTACATATTGATAGGGAAGGTCATACCATTCGTATTGATGAAATCGATTGTCTTCACTATCCCATGGCTGACTCAATTTCCTAATCCATTGACACCTTCCATAGCAACTTAGTTTTCAAAGATAGGCACACAACTTGTGGCTCTGAATCTAGTTTGGATGGAACTATAGCAAATATTCCAGTTGAAACTACTCATGATGTGGAGCTTGATACAGGGGAGAAAATGAAATCTTTTGCAAATTATGAAGAGGCAGCAATTGATAAACCACATCTGGCTAGTGATCCAACTTATAAGGAGGCTACTTATTCGGCTCCAAATAGGCTCCAAGACCATAGCTCTCTTGTCATCATAAATGCACTGCAACAACTAAGGGGGCATGTCCACTTCCCAATAATATCTATAGATCTTTCCTTGAAATTTTAGGATAAACTTAAACTTAAACCATTACATCAACACCACTAGAAATAATGTTGTTGCTATCCAATTTTTTAACCTGAATTTTTAAAAATTCAAAAATTGCAAAAAAAATAATATGTTCTTGATATCTTTATGTCGTTTTTAGCATTTCCAATGTCATCTTAAAAGAATTTAATTTTCAAGAATCTTTTGAACGCGTTCAACTTTTAACGTGTTATTTTTAAAATTATTGATTTTTCTCGTTGAGGTGACTATAATATTGCTCGTTTTCAAAATTTATAAAAAAATAAAAAAAAATTAAGGGACCAATTATGGAAACCAAACAATATTTTGCCTATAATAGATCTCCACAACATACATAAAAGAGGGGGTGCAATTTTGAAAAATTAAATAGGGAGAAACCCTAACCCACATAAAAGAAAACCCTAAACACACCTGAACCCGTTTCTTCTTCTCACAAGAACCAGGGCTCTGTTTTCCATCTCACCAGCCAAAGCCTTTCCCTCTTAATCATCCCTTCTCCTCTCCAGCCCCCCTTCATCCCTCT